AAGGAAAGCAAAAGTGGAAGGAAGCAGTTTTTTTTTTTTTAAAGGGAACAGTAGCTTTGTGCAAAGGCACTGAGGTAGAGATGCAAGGTACCTTCTAGAACATCTGAGAAGGGCGGTGTTGCTGGAGGATAGAAAACAGACATTAATGGTCTAAAATGATACTGGAAAGAGGGAGGAGACGAATAGGATTTGAGTATTTATCAGAGAAGAGTAAGAAAATACAGGGCACTGCAAGGAAGTCCATAGAGATTCTATCTACAAAAATCAGTCTAGTATGGAAACAAGTGATTATATAAATTAATAGGTTCAGCCATTCTTTGTATTGAAATAAAATTCTCCTGTGGCCTGGTTCTAGAAAAGCCCAAGAGAATGAAGGAAAACATGGTGTTAGGGCATGCTGGAGGGAGGTGCTCAGGGCCTTGAACCTGTGGCAGATGGTTGAAAATACTTGCCCTATGCCTGTATTCATGAGGGTTAGGCTCAGTTGCAACTAACAGAAACATTAAAGATTTAGATTACCAAACTTACCTGTAAGACGGCATCTGAATTAAATATGCACACTGGGGTGTCGGGTTCAGGAAACAGTAAATGTTCTTGTCAGAAAATACGAGAGGCTTTAGGGAAAATCCAGGACCCAGAGTGACCATCTTTAAGGATGGATTTTCTGTTTTTACTGTTGATTGTAGACAAGGGAAAACTCAAAACATTCCATCTTGTATCAGGTTTGCATGTTTGGCCTCAAACTGTATCAGTTAGAAGATCTTTGTTTATTTTCACTGTGCCCTTCTTGAACTGTGCAGAGGACGAGTGCTGTAGTCCCAGCTGCCAATAATTTTAACTGTGCTACAAGGTTAGTTACTCCTTCTGTGTGCTGAGACCTTGGAGTTCAGGCAGGAGCCTTTGAACACATTATTTTGGTGCTAAGCTGCTTTGGAAAGAGTCCGACTAAATGGTTGCTAAACGTGTTCGGCAGTTCCAGCATGGTGGCATTCAATGAGTGAGGGTTCCAGAACCTCATTCCTCTCTAAGACTGAGGTTAATGTGCAGCACAGAGTATACTTCCAGGTACACACAGTGTCTGGGATGCCGGGAACTGTGCCCAGACCTGAGACATCAATAGTGTTGCGGTGGGTACCTGCATGGCAGCTCAGAAGGTTGACGGGAGGGCTTGTACTCGGCTGCTGTGTCCCTTTGCCGCTTCTCCTTTTGAAGCTCATCAACAGCCCCTGCTCCACCATGGGACAGACCCAGTCCTCTCCTTTCCACACTGGTTCCTGCCACCACAACCTTGATGTTTCTCCACCCCGTGCTTCTCATGCTGGTTCCCATGACCTAGGAGTTTCTCCATCCCGTACTCATCATAACGGCGCACCCTTCATCTCATTACTTCATTATCCTGATGAGACTCCTTGATAACGTCTACACTCTCACCTCTTCTCATCTTCTCCTCAATTTCTCAGCCGTCTGAAATATGACTTCTGTATCCAGCACTGCATGGGGGCAGCTCCTGGGAACGCACCAGTGCACTTCTAAGTAGGAAGCACTGTGAGCGCCCTTCGGTCTTTATCCAAGTGAAGGTTTTTTAACAGCTTATCGATAACTCCCCTCTGTTTGAAATTCTATCCACTCTGACATAAATTTCTCCTGATTCTCCTCCTGCGCCTCTGTGTACAGATAGTTGAATCAAATAACTCTTGAAAGAGAGAACATCAAATAAATAAAACCCAGCTTGTGTTGCTAGCAGCCACATCTCTGGATGGTACTATTCACCCAAAATAGGTCATTCCCCATGGATGATAGAAACATCATTGCCGTTCACAGATGCAGTCATTCGGTACAGCTTACATCACTGCGATCAATTATCAGCATAATTGATAATATCATTACATGACATAAAAACATTTCAAACAGTATTTGTATTATAACTGATACTGTTCTTTAGTAACTATGAAAAGCCTTTGATTACTTACTGTAATAGAGTAATGTGATTTTGTCCATGGTATGCTCTCACAACCAATTATTTTGGTTGTTTATACAGTACTATGTAATTTGTGTAATGGTTAGTTACTTAGTAAGTGACTAGATAGTTAATTCCTTGCAGAGACAAGAATCATGTCTTTATCTTGGCAAACCTTAAAGGATCTTGGATGTAGTAGGTTTTCAATAAATTATATTGAATTAAAATGTTAGGCAGCTTTTTAAAGTCAAAGCAAGACTGAAAAAAATCCTGTACGGTAGTAACGTCTCCATTAGTCTTGTGATAGGCACCTAACACGCAGCATTCATGGCCAACAATACCTTACAGATTTTCTAATAACTAGGAGATACAAATCATAGCTGGATGTAGAATTAGTATGACATGACTTGTGATTTTCTGGTTTATATAACAGCCAAGTTCATAACCATAGATTCAACGGCAGTAATTTCTCCAAGTCACAATATATTCCCAACTATCCTGGCAAATAAATAAGACACACACATCCGAGTAGCAATGAAGAAGACAGCATATGAAAATCAAACATAGCCTATAAAAGAATTCCAGCTTCCCACCTATAACTGCATGTGCTTTGCACCACATCGGAAAGATGCCATTTATTTCTGACTATGATTAATGGTTCTTCTTAGGCAGTCAACTTTCTTTGCCATTTAACAAAGATTGTGTCCTAAGGTTTTGTCTTACTTCAATTCTAGTGCCATTTGTAAATCTGACAAATCAGATAACGAAATGTTGAATTTGAATTATAGTTTTGTTTATGAGTGTGAATCTTGAAATATCTCTTATGCAACTGGGAACATACATGAATTTCATCAGAAGGTTTGTGGCTGTACATTCTGTAAAGGTTCTATAGGCAGGGAAATAACAAGCTGGATGCCTGGTAGTGATGTGGAGCCTGATAGCCACATGATGCCAAAAACAAAAATAAAAAGGAAAAGGAAATATATAAAGAACCACGCCAGCTGTGAACTGATCCCAGGGCACAGGATGACTACTTTGGGGTGTGTGGTCGGTATTTATCATCTTTTATGACATGCAAAAAAAAAAAAAATCAAACGAAATGTCTTTGAATTATTTTGGTATGACACTAAATAAAAGGAGAAAGAGGGAGAGTAAGATGTCAATTGGAATTTTTTAAAAGAACATGTTCAGAGGTATCAAAAATGAATATAAACGAACACTGCCTCGCTTCCTATCAGAGAGCAATTCCCTGTAACAGAATAAATGAGGCGTGAGCATGTACGTTAAGAGAGCACTCAGACCATCCTCTTACATAGGTGTCAGACAGCAAACAGGGGAAGAGTAATGGGCTTGGGGCGGGGGCCGAGGGGAATCTAGGTAAGATCCGAAAAGATGGTTACCGGCATGCGTTACAAAAGGGAAGACTAAATAGAGCACTGGATAGACCGGAATAATTACAGGGTAATTAACATGCCCTCTGTCTTCCTCTTTGGGGAATTTTTTTTTTTCAGTTAGATAGAAATGAATCCTGACTGCCACAGTATTTCATTTGGCAGGATATCAGGTAATTTATATTTCAAATATGATCTCATCATCAGTTCCATCTGTTGGTATTAACTGAACATCCGTAATGTTTGAAACTCTGACTTGTAGAAAATATACCTGAAAATCAGAATCCTTGAATTTGAGAGACTCATACCAATCAGAAACCTGAATAAATGCCCTCTTATCTTGCAAGTGCTGTGTGTTCATTTTAAGTCTTCACTTTTAATCCACCCTGTTCTACACTCTGACTCCAGGGACCAAGGGAGGGAGAAACCACCGTCAGCTGCCATAGGATGAGCTCAAATCAGTGTTAGACTTTCTTTAAAGAGGACGAGCATATTTTTTTATGCTAAGCCCCAAGTAGAAAAAAACCACTGGCTACCAGGCTCTGATTCTAACCAGTTCTTATTTTTTGGCTATTCATAGTTTCAAAGACTTTTCCCTTCTTCTTACATGCAATTGAAAACTGAGAGCTGGAAAAAGCAAGATTTCAGGACAGTGTTGGCATGAAGTAACACTCCAGGGACTGTGTTCCTAAATTTGCCCCAGCTTCCTTAACCCAGACACTGACCTCCCTTCCTTTCTGTGCTGGTGGATATGGAGAGATGTGGACCAGCAGCAGGGCACAGATCACCCCATTCTCTGGAAGGCTGTCTCCAGCTAATGAACACTCCCTTTTTCAGCAAGCTCGAATGAGTCTTCTCAACCTTCAGGACCCAGTGCAAGTTCTTTCTCCTCTTTCTCATGTCCCAGCCAGGCAAATTTAACCAGACCTTCCCCCGGGCCAGCACTGGACATTGACAACAGCTAGCATCACAATGTCTTAAACTGAGCTGCATTTGTTTCTTTGAATGTCTTTCTCCTCTACTAGATCATGAGTTTGAATACCTGGTGCCTCACCTAGTAGCTATTCAATTCACCTGCAATCCACATCATCCCCCTGCTAAGAGACAAAAAGTTAAATAATGCCTTCTCCCCAAAAAGGGGGGTGAGAGTTGGGGGAAAAATAATGCCTCCTCCATTCACAATAATGGGTCCTCAATAAATACTGTTGCATTGGTTTTTAATATCATCTTTTCCATAGCTGAACCCAAACATGTCGTTACTGCCTTGCTCAGTTGATCAAAATTAATTCTGTCCAGTGAGTAGAATTAACAAAAAGAATTTATCAAATTCTTATTGACTACAGGTGGTACTGAATTTGGTTTTCGGTTTATTTCATCAAAAATATGTCTAAAGCAATGTAATGTTCTCTAGAAGAGGGATTGTGAGAGCTTATTCAAGGCGTGGTGTTCTTCCTTCATTCGAGCAATATTTTTTAAGGGGTGTTGCCCCAAGAAAAGAAAGCAAAAACCACTCAGATCTTTAAGTTTCTAAGCATTTATTGTATATTTGCAGCATAAAAATGTTGACATAGATTCAGTGCCTGCATAAGTTATTAAGGAGGAGGAGTGAAAGTATGTTTTTAGTAACCCTTCTGGATTTCTTTCCCCACTAGGGTACTCAATACTTCAAGCTATTATGGAAAAAGCAGGACAAAACGGTTGGCATGTCAGCGCTATATGTGTGGAAAATTTTAATGATGTCAGCTATAGGCAACTTCTAGAAGAACTTGACAGACGACAAGAGAAGAAATTCGTAATAGACTGTGAGATAGAGAGGCTTCAAAACATATTAGAACAGGTAAGTCCTGGATTTTATATTATTATTACCATAGACCTTCTACAAAAAGTTGACTTTTGATTTACTTTTTTCCCATCAATATTTTCTCCAAACCATTTAGTCTGAAGTGCAGAGTTCAGGACTTTTCATTCCATGATTCATCTCCAAGACTAAATCATAATCCTTTATCACCAAAGGCCATTTTGGCTCGTAGGTCTCAGTGCAGTGAGGAGCATGATTTCTCTCACATTTTAAAGGCCTACCATAGCAAGGACCTTTTGTGAATCACCAAGAGCTCTTGGCCTCCTACGTTCATAAACATTAATTTTGAAGATTAATGCCATCTAGAATCTTAGAAAGTTTTAGTATTCATGACTGTGTGCCTTTTCTAACCTTTTGAAAAATAGCTACACAAGAACTAATAACATGAAATAGTAAAGCAATGAAATAAAAGAAAGTTAAATGGCATACTGTGCATAGCATATCTTCTTCTAGATGTTTTCAGTGCATTACCACTACAGTGAAAATGGTTTTCAACTCTTTTCACAAATGAAGACTCCTTTGATAAATCTTTCAATAAATATTCGTTGATTTGATTTGAAGCAGACAGGAAAAGGTAAAATTGAGCTTTGTTATTGTGTTAAATGATAGGAAAATATCATCAAATAATGGGTAACATTTGCCTTCCTCCTAACCCTACATCTCCTGATCAGCGTCAAGCTATATTTGGCCAAAATTGCAGTGAGTGAATGCCACCTAGTGGTTTTGGAAATGTTTGCTCCTCCTTACCTACAGTAAGCCATTCTGGCTAAGGCAATATTGTAGCATGATGTCTTGTTGGTTACTTTGCTACATATAGTTTGCATAATAATATGATTTGATTTGTAGTATAAACTTAGAAATTCGTAGGTTTATTTATAACAATAACTTAAGTACTCAAATAGAAAAAGCAAAACCGAAATATGTTTCAGAGATTCCTCCTTCATATCGAAGGGCCCTAAACTAGATGCCTTTCGGTTTCCCTCCTCAACTATATCAGAATTTGTAAAAGTTAAAAGTGAAAAAGCATGCGGTATTTCTTTTTCAAGGTCTGGTGAAGCCAATCGATACTGTAAGGAAATGATAGTATTCACTTCCTGTTAACTTTTCATAGAAGAAAAAACTTGATTGAAGAAATATATTTGTATTATATTGGAAGACATTCATTATAAACCTGTATGTCACTCAAGTTTATCCCTGAGGGACTCCAAAAAAATCATTAAGTTTGCAAGTATTCAAGCAAGGTAGATGGAATTTTTAAGCGTGTATTTATGGAATCCAAGAAAAAACTTTTGTTCTTAAGCAAGACAGTCACTTCAACTCAAACTCTGCTCTCCCTCCCTCTCACTCCCACCCCTGTGTTGAGAGTTGAGTTGTTTGATGTGAACAACTGAAGCTTTGTAAATACCTCCTCATGAATCCCACAGAGCAGTCAATTCTGAGAACTGCCCGGATTGCCAAGTTCCTGTCAGAGGGCGAGGAAGGCTCAGAAAGACCCTCCACTTAGCACCTGTGCTTAAAAGACTGTGTCTGGAGAAGGCAATGGAATGCCTATAGCACACTGACCCATTTCAGAGGCTTAGCTAGTTTCTAAGAAGAAAATCGGCATGCCCCAGTGCTTTGGATAAACTCTAATAACAAGCCTTAAATAAAATCTTGCTTAGGGGAACAAGACAGCGTTTTTTGTCATCTCAAAAATATTGTTTTTATATTCTTAGCCTTATTGAGATATGACTAACATATAATGTTGTGTAAGTTTCATGTGACAGTATGGTAATTTGATACACTAATATACTGTGAAGTGTTTACCACAGCAGGGCTGGTGAATGAACAATTCTGTCTCTTCACATGGTTACCATTTTTGATGGGGGGGGGGATGAAAATATTTAAGATCTGCTCTCCTAACAACTTTCAGATATATAATACGGTATTTTTAACTATGGTCACCATGCTGTACAATAGATCCCCAGAACTTAGAAAACTGAGTTCTACCTTTTCTGTGTCTCTTCTTGCTGGATTCTAAAAGGTTTCTTTTCTCTCATGACTGCATAGTAATAATGAGACTTTGTCCCTTTTAAATGCCTCTCAAGTATAAACCTAATCAATTGTACAGTGTCTCCTGTATTATGAGAATATAATATACTCTAAATTGTCCTATAAAATTTTCCGTAAGAAAAGATGTTTTCTGATCCTTAATATGGTTTTTTTTTACTACTGATACTTTAATTCCTTGTAGCTCTAAGCCAAATCATTTTTAATGTTTCTTGGTTTTACTCTTGACTCATCCAAACACAAGAGCTAATCCAAACTGTGTCAAGAGTTTCTATATATACTTTAATACCCCCATATTTCTGCAGCCTCTTTAATAATTTGAGGTAACAGTAGAAAACAGTTGCAGAGAATCAACCAATGCCTTTTTTAAAAAAGTAAAATGCTAAATAATCTTGATCAGAAAAATGCTTTTGAAAAGAAGTAGCTGTCTTTCAGAAGATGGTGAAGTTAATATAATAAAGATAAGGGGATGTGTTAGTAGATTATAGAAAGATGAGCACACTTAATATTGGCATGCTACCAATAACTACTTTGTGGATATTTTAATTCGTATCATTTTTCAAAAACATAATGGAAATGGCTCCCACAATTTTCTCTTAAAATCTGTGAATGGACAACTGTGTTTAGAGAACCACTTCATCTTCTGCACATGTTTTCCAAATTATTTTTATGCCACAAACTAATTAGTTCTTATAAATGTATTACTGTTTATTATTTTAGCATCGCTTTTCTTTAATCACTGCCCAGAAGTTATAGGATGTATCTGAAATTTCAAATTAATTACAATTAGTTGTTTTAAGAATTCTACATTATCTTTTTAACTTAATTATAAATATTCTAAGGCAGTAGATCTCAAACAATAGTAGGCTTAAGAATCACCTGGGGTGAGGTGTCAGCTTTGCTAAAAATGCAGGATTTTGTCCGTATCTTTAGATAGTTTGCTTGAAAAAGTCTGGCCTGGGACCCAAAACACTACCATAAGAACAAAATTGTAACTAGAAATCTGTGACAAGGACAACAACAAAACTAAGATGTTTATTAAAGCTAAAGTTCTTTCTATAAAGGGTGAGTAAATTAATGTTTCATATCTATACTTTTAAATGTGTGCTATATTTTTTTGAGTTTCAATGGGTTTATTTTTTAATGTTTCAAGTTTTTATTTACATTGTAGTTAGTTAACATATAGTGCAGTACAGTTTCCAGAGTAGAATTTAGTGATGCATCACTTATATACAACACCCAGTGCTCATCCCAAGTGCCCTCCCTAATGCCTGTCACCCCTCCAGCCCAACCCCTTCCGACTTCCCTCCGCAACCCTCAGTTTGTTCTCTCTAGTTAGGGGTCTATTTTATGCGCTGCCTTCCTCTTTTTTTTCTTTCTCCTGTGTTCCTTTGTTTTGTTTCTTAAATTCCCATATGAGTGAAATCATATGGTATTTGTCTTTCTCTAACTGCCTTATCTCACTTAACATTATACTTCCTACCTCCATCCATGCTGTTGCACATGGCAAGATTTCATTCTTTTTTATGACTAATATTCCTGTGTGTGTGTGTGTGTGTGCGCGTGCGTGCGCACATGCGCGCGCGCACCACATCGTCTTTATCCATTGATCAGTTGATGGACACTTAGGCTGAATCTGTAGTTTGACTATTGTAGATAATTTTGCTGTAAACATCAGGCTGCATATATTCTTTTGAATCAACCTGTTTGTATCCTTTGGGCAAATACCCAGTAGTGCAATTGCTGGGTCGTAGGGTTAGCTCTATTTTTAACTTTTTGAGGACCCTCCACACTGTTTTCCAGAGTGGCTGCACCAGCTTGCATTCCCACCAGCAGTGTAAGAGGGTTCCCCTTTCTTCACATCCTCGCCAACATCTGTTGTTTCTTGTGTTGTTAGCCATCTGACAGGTGTGAGGTGGCATCTCATTGTATTTTTGATTTGTATTTCCCTGGTGATGAGTGCTGTTGAGCACTTTTTTGTCTATGAGCCATCTGTGTGTCTTCTTTGGAAAAATATCTACTCATGTCTTCTGCCCACTTCTTAACTGGATTACTTATTTTTTGGGTGTTGAGTTTGATAAGTTCTTTACAGATTTTGGATACTATCCCTTTATCAAATATGTCACATTCTGAAGGTCGCCTTTTAGTTTTGTTGATTGGTTCCTTTGCTGTGCAAAAGTTTTTTATCCTGATGAAGTGCCAATAGTTCATTTTTGCCCTTGCTTCCCTTGCCTTTGGAGACGTGTCTAGTAAGAAGTTGTTGTGGCTGAGGTCACAGAGGCTGCTACCTGTGTTCTCTTCTAGGATTCTGATGGTTTCCTGTCCCACATTTAGGTCTTTCATCATTTTGAATTTATTTTTGGTATGGTGTAAGAAATGGTCTAGTTTCATTCTTCTGCGTGTGGCTGTCCAATTTTCCCAACACCATTTGTTGAAGAGAATGTCTTTTCCATTGGATATTTTTCCTGCGTTATTGAAGATTAGTTGACCATAGAGTTGAGGGTCCATTTCTGGATTCTTTATTCTGTTCCATTGATCTATGTGTCTGTTTTTGTGCAAGTACCATACTGCCTTGATGATTACAGCTTTGTAATATAGCTTGAAGTCCAGAATCATGATGCCTCCAGTTTTGGTTTTCTTTTTTAAGATTGCTTTGGCTATTTGGGGTCTTTTGTGGCTCCATACAAATTTTAGGATTGTTTGTTCTAGCTCTGTGAAAAATGTTGATGGTATTTTGATAGGTACTGCATTGAATTTGTAGATTGCTTTGGAGAGCATAGACATTTTAACGGTATTTGTTCTTCCAATCGATGAGTATGGAATGTTTTTCTATTACTTTGTTTCTTCCTCAGTTTCTTTCATAAGTATTCCATAGTTTTCAGAGTACAGCTCTTTTACATCTTTGGTTAAGTTATTTCTAGGTACAGTTT